ATCCCCAGGGTCCTGCCCCGCTCCCGCGGGCTCCTGCACCCGCTACGCAGCAACCCCGCTGCTGCTCCAGCGAAGTGTGAGGTGCTCCTTGTGGGAGGGTGTCCCTAGTGACTGTCCTGTGCCGGTCTACAGCACCTTCGCTCGGGCCAGCATCTGCCCTTCTTTTGCTGTCCGCTGGCCCGGGACCCCGAGTAGCCCCACCCGCGCCCCCAGCGCACTGACTCTGGTCCCCAAACCGGTCTTGCAGGTCCCAGGAAGGTGGCGTCAGCATCTGCAGCCGTGTCGACGTTGTCGGAGCCTCCGCGGAGGACCCAGGAGAGTCGGACTAGGACCAGGGCCCCGGGCCTTCCTACCCTCCCTATGGAGAAACCAGCTGCCTCAACGGAACCCCAAGGGCCTCGGCCCGCCTTGGGCCGCGAAAGTGTCCAGGTGCCAGATGACCAGGACTTCCGCAGCTTCCGGTCAGAGTGTGAGGCTGAAGTGGGCTGGAACCTGACCTACAGCAAGGCCGGCGTGTCTGTGTGGGTGCAGGCTGTGGAGATGGATCGGACTCTGCACAAGATCAAGGTAGGATTGCTCTATGGTACCTGCAGCCTCCACTGATCCCTAACTCTCAGTAGGCTTCTTGTCCTGAGTCAAACCGGGGCCCCCAGAGGGGTGCATCTGGACCCAGAGCCTCCTACTGTAAACCAGGAGGAGGCATGGCTGAGGCCCAGACAGCGCATGTGGGCATGACTTCACCGCGCTCTAACCCAGGCATGCCTGCATGTTTGGGAGATGGGTGGTGGCCAGGGAAATAGTTTCTCTCAGGGAGATCTCTTCCAGAATAACTTCCACTTGGACCCCGAGCTTGACTCACCAGACAAGAGAATGGCCCCTTTGCTCCTTCACTCCTGGCTCTGTAGTCTGAGATGGGTCTTCTGTACTTTCTGCACTCTTGGGTGCCAAGGATAAGATTCCTTCCTGCTTGATCCCTTTAGTCCTCCCTGTCCCTGGCCAGTTGCTCCAGTCTCTGAGTCTCCAACAGGCCTTTAGGACTGTGGTTGGCAGCTCCTGAAAGCTCCCTTGCTCTGAGCCACACTGGAGGGTGAGCTAGGGGAGACAGGGACTTCGGGTCAAGGGAAACCAGTTCTGAAAGCAGTTGTGTACTCACCAGCCCCTCACAGCCATCTCCCCTCCTCCCAGTCCCATGATTCTCTTCTCTGTCATGACAGGGCAGGCTTGGGGTTTGATGAGGCAGAGATCCTGGTCTAGGGGCCTCAGTAGCTGTCCCTCACACATGTGGTTTTGCTGTGAGTGCCGCATTTCAGGGTGTGAACTTCCCTTTAGAGGGTTCCTGAAAAGGCTATGCCTTCATACCCTTCAGCTCTGGGTCAGGTGAGGATGCGTTCCTGTTCTTAGAGGCCAGGGCACTGGCTTGAACAGGGTCCCTCCTGCCTGGGGCCTGGACTGTGACTCCTGACCTCACACCAGAACCTGAGGTGCTGGCCTTCCCTTCTGGTACTATGCTTTTCTGCTTTGACTTAATCATTTACAGCTTTATCCACCTGTCCCCACACGATTGGCTTGCTCTTCCTGCTGTCCCTTTGCCCTCTGCGACTGTCTCTGTATGCCTTGGTCAACTGACTCTCTCTGGGTTTCTGTGTATACCTCCTTCCTCTGAGTCCCTGCCCAAGCATAAAGACCCTGAGCTGGAGCTCCTCCAGGGCCTAGCCTAGGTCTGAGCCTGAGGGACAAGGAAGGAAAGGGCAGCTGGCAGTGCCAGCGTGTTGCTGCCCGCATGCAGGCTTCTCTCCCACAGCATCCGCAGGAACGTGTTGTTGGGGAAAGACACAGGAACAAAGTGAAAGGTGGTGGCCTGTGGCTGAGAGGGTGGAACCAGGAGGATGCAGGGGCTGGGAGTGTGGCTTCCCTACAGGACTGGCTCTCTAGGACGAGTGTGTGTGTGTGTGTGTGTGTGTGTGTGTGTGTATGGGGGGTGTGAGTACTCCTACCCTTTGTCAACAGGGCGGAGCTGCCTCCCCCATCTTACTTGGTTAATGGATAAACGCAACTTTGCCCAGGACAGGAGTTGGCAGGTGTAGGGACCAGGTTGCCTTATACAGACCTTTTGTGGCTAGGTCAGACTTGAGAATGGAGAGTATTTGAAAAAGCTGTGGTGTCATGGGCTTCTGGGCAGGATGTACGTTTTTTCCAACACACACATTCCAGTACTTCACCTGAACAGAGACTTTTGTACAACCTGCCTGGTAATCCTGTCCTCCTACAGTGGGGTGCAGGTGAGGATCTGAGGACCAGAGAATTCCAGGGGCCAGCACATGGGGAACTTGGACACATGGGCTGTGTCCCAAGAGCGCTTAGAGCCTTGATGGTTAGCCTCCGACCTAATCTTGTCTCTAACTCTGCTCTCACGCTGCCTCCACCTCAGTGTTTCCCCCAGCAGAGGCGGTGCGCAGAACCCACTTCGGCTGTGGGTGTTCCCAGTGGCCAGCCTCCATCCCTAGTCCTCTCTGCGTGGTGGTTAGAGCTCCGTGATGAGCAGAGGTCTCTGAGCTCCCTGTCCCTAGATTCCAGGACTTCCAGTTGCCACAGTTAATCCTGGTTTTGATAAGTGCCCTGCTCCTGGCCAAACATTTTCCCTTGGTTATCTGATTTAGTCTCACGCCAGTCCTGGGTAGTCATCAATTTGTCTTGTTCTTACCAAGAAAGAAACAAGCAAGGACATCGCACAACTGAGGCGCCTGCTCCAGAGTTGCTGACCCTGTCTCATGAACTTGCATCCTTAGGCAACACTGGCCTTTAACCCCATCAATAACTCTTTGAAGAACTGAAGGACTTTATGTTCTCATCATTCCATTCTTGATTGATGGATGGCAAAGCTGAGGCCCAGAGGGATGGGTGACTCTTGCCAAGGTCAGGTAGAAGCCAGAGCCCCAGGGAACCCTGGGTCATTTCAGGAAGCTGGGACTCAACCTCGGTTTTTTTGTTGAGATTCTGCCCACTCTCCTCTGCTGTCTCCTGTGCCAGGGCATGCCCTGTGCTCTGTGATTGTGTGTGTAGGGGGATGGCACCTGCCTATTTACTTGATTGATTTTTATCTGCTCTTCTCCCTGTCTCTGTGTCCAAAGGTCCCTGGAAGCCACCATAGCTCTGGGCCCAGCAGCCAGGACAGAGGACAGGGGTTGCTGGAGGCTGCCCCAACTCTCTCCCTCCCTCCTGGCCTCTATCCTGGCCTGGTTTCAGGTCTGTACTGGGCTCTGGGTAGTGGACAGGAGGCAGACAATGCTGCCTACAAGTCTAGGCCCAGTACCAGAAGCAGATGTTGAACATGGACCCCAGAGATCAGAAGACTGATTAGAACCTAAACACAGGCTTCCCAAAGCTGCAAGAAACAGAAAACATTTCTCAGTCATTCAGGGAACTATCTGAATAAACTAACTTCTGGTATCTTTTTGCTGTATTTGAGTGAGGCATGTCCCTTCCACTCTGGGCTGTCTGGTCATCTGCCATTGGACCTTCCTGACTTAAGTATCTCTGAACTCAGTGGCTGGGCCGTGGGCGAGAGATGAAGGGCGGTCCTGGCTGTTGTGCTCTGGGTGACCTGTGCTCGGGTCTTCTGATGCCTACTGCATGCCTCTCCATGTGACAGGCGGAGGACGACCCCTGGGTCCTTCCCAACGTTTTCAGACCTTGATGGAGAGTGGGATGACAATTGTAAGTGGGCCCAGGGCACAGGTTTGTGAGCACGCACAGAGGCAGGGGTGAGCCTCAGAGGAACCAGCACCTATGCCAAGAGCAGATGTCAGAAGCTCTGGGGACTCGGAGTTAGAGCAGGGGGGAGAGAACTCTTACTGTGTATGTATGGCTGAGCCTCTGGCTGCAGGAACCTGGGTAGTGGGGAAGTCTGCTGACTTCCAGGTCAGGAGTCCTCTCTCTCCTTTGGAGAAAGTCTAGGTATCCCCATCTGGCCCTGACTCACTGTCTATCTGTCCCATGCCATAGGCACCTGGAGGACAGTCTCTCAGCCAGTGTCCAGAGGTCCCCATCTCATGAGCCTTTTCCTGTGTCCTGTGACGTGTGGATTCACTCAGATCTCTGAGGACCTTTCTCACCCTTAATAGTCTGAGACTCATTGGGCAGTGGTGGCGTACGTCTTTAATCCCAGCTCTCAGGAGGCAGAGGCAGGTGGATCTCCATGAGTTCGAGGCCAGCCTGGTCTACAGAGTGAGTTCTGGAACAGCCACGGTGGTTACCCAGAGATACCCTGTCTCGAGAAACTAAACTAGAAACAAAAAAAACAAGCAATAACAACAACAACCACAGTAACAACAACAGTAACAAAAGTCTGAGACTCAAAGCTGTGCTGGGAAAGACAGGGGGTTGGGTGTATAAGTCCAGGGCTATTTTTGTCTTTTTAAAAAATGATTTATTATTTTTATATTATGTGCGTTGGTATTTTGCCTACATGCATGTCTGTGTGAGGGTGTCAGATCCCCTGGGGGTAGAGTTACAGGCAATTAATTGGAAGCTGCCATGTGGGTGCTGGGAACTGAACCCAGGCCCTCTGGAAGAACAACCAGTGCTCTTAACTGCTGAGCCATCTCTCCAGTCCTATTTTTTTTTTCTTACTGAGTCTGCTATCATCTTGTAGGGTAGGACTCATCGATCCAATGGAGCAGATATGGACAAATGGAGCCTTGGAGTTGGAGTTCACTTGTGCAAGATCAAATAGTTAGAAGTGGCTGAAAGTCCTTCGTCCTTCCCCCAACACACACACAAAGTTGGCTTCTCTCTGTCCCTTGGCCTGGCTCTGAGTCCTGTTGGGCCATTCTGTCTCCAGAACCCCATGGAGACCCAGCCTCTGTCCTTGGGTCTCTCTGTGTTGTGTCATTGTGAGAGGACACCTTGGAGGGGACCCAACTGGGTAAAAGTCCAGTCCTCACTGTGTGATCAGAGGGGTCACTTTACCTTTCTGGGTCTATTTTCTTATCTGTGGTAGCAAGGCTGGGAGCTGATATGGTTTTAGGATCTGGAGCTGGGGGAGCTTAGGCCCTAGCTTGGCCTTTGCCTCACTAGGGTCAGTTTGCCCATCTTTACAGGATGTGGCTGGACAGGTGGTTTGTAGAGGTGATGAGACGTCACTGCAGGGCCTGGGGTAAGGGTGGCCAACTAAGGCCTTGGTGGTCTGTGCTACAGGGACGGTGGTGGCTGGAGGTATTGAAGATGCCATCCTGCTCGAGGTGCCTGCTTGAGTTGAAGCTGCACAAGAGAAAGCACAGGGTTCAAAGTCTCTGCTGAGTGGCCCTGGGCAGACTGCTTCCATTCCTCGTCTGCTCCACATGGAAAGGAAGTGCCAGCTTGCCTGATGCTCATGCTATGTCAACACCACTGGATAGCCGCTCTACCTGGGCCCGTGCTGGAAGTAGGGACAGCCAGAGCGGCCACTGAGGGTTTCCTGGAGCACACCACCTAGATGGTGGCTTTGGACTTGAGAGGCAATAGGAGTTTGACATCAGCAGCATTCTGCATAGACACAGAGACAGGGGAGACAGGACAGGACACTGGGAAAGGTGCCCTGCTTGAGAATGGGGGCCAGCAAGGGGTTAGAGAAGCAGGCCAGGCCTCTGGCCATCTGGAGCTAGGTGTCTCATGGTACCAGAGTTTTGCTGTGAGGAGAGGCTGCTGCGGCTGCATCTGTCTGGGCAATGGTGCTGGGTCTAAACTGCAACAGGGGCTGTGGGCAGTTCAGCGTGGGGTCATCTGGAAAGATCAAGGGATGACAAAGTGCACGCTGTGATTTGCATAGTGGGCTAAGGTGGCCTCTGTCCTGACAGTGGGTGCTCTGCTTCAGGCTATGTCTCTGTTGGGGGTAGGGGAGCCCTCAGCTCCTAGGCTGACTTAGTGCCCTCCACACCCAGTTCCCCAGGCTCCAGGTTTTAAACTTTAACGAGCCTCAGCTCAGTTTCCAGGCGAGAGTGTTTAAAGTTTCAGGAGACGAGAGAAAGGAGCGAGCCCTGGAGACAGCTGGGTTCTCTCCTCCCTTGTGCCTCCACACTGGGCTGGACCACCTGGAGCCAGAGCCCTGGGTACCCTGGCCCTAGAGACTCGGCTGTCTGTGGAGGTCTGGGACCTAGGCTGGGCCCCTCTAGAGTATTCCCACAGGCCTGGGTGCCAGGTTGCCAACAAGCACAGATGGGAATAGAACCCGATCACAGCCCAGACCCCTTACCTGGGCAGATGATTATCCTCGGACTACAGGTGGAGGGACACAGCTCAGACTAGGTGTCAGGTTGGCAGTATCCCCAATCCTCTCTTCCTTAGGCCTCTTCCAGCATTCTGTGTTGAGGTAGATGCTGTAGGCCCCTGTAGAGATTAAAAAACATGGGAACAAAAAGCTCATGCCAAATACACACTCTTGTCACCTGCCAGTAAACGGAGCCTGGGGCTAGTGACTCTGGGCAGCTGGCGCTGTTCTCTGGGGCGTTATTATATTTATTTATTTTTTACATTTTATGTGTGTATGTGCACATATGCATACACATGCATATGTCATGGCAAGGGATGCAGAGGACAACCTGCTGAAGTTGGTTCTCTCCTGCCATCCTGCAGGCCCTCAGTCTTGGTGGTCTCACTGCCCGTCTCTGGGCTCCCAGAAGACAAGCGCATGCCACATCTCTAGAATCTTTCTGTCCCGGGGCAGGTATCCCAAGAGGCCATACATTTAAGGAGTGTATGCTCTATGCCAAGTATTATGTTATATGGGAATTTGGCATCAAATCACACTTTTTATACCCTGTTGTTATGAGGATCATACCCTGACAGGGAGCCAAGCAAAACAGAAGCAAACAACTGAAGAAGATACCAGAGGGTGGCTCTGTTCTGAGCACAGGGTAATGTGGTGGGGGTGGAGGATTCTACGGCTGGGCTTCTGTATGTGGAACTGGATTGTGGGTGGCTGTGTGTGACACAGCCTTCAGACGAATGAGCTCTCCACAAGCAGGTACAAGGTTCCCCAATCCCAAACAGGCACCTGAGAAGTTTGGGTCATTCCACACGGAATGCATGTGTGTGCCAAGTGTGAGACTGTGTGTGTTTCTGTGTCTGGCATTACTCTTTGTGTGAGTCACACCCCCTCACTGCAGGAACAGAGTTGTCTCTGATCCAATTATGTCTGCTCAGCTGTCTCCTGGCAGCTCCTGCCCCCTGGTGCAGCTCTGGCTCTGCCATGCTTTCCCTTCCTGCTTCTTCTTTGTCTGCCTCTGGCCTCGCTCTGGGTCTCTGGGCCTCCCTGTTCTAGCCCTGTCTCTGTTCTTTCCTCCCTGCCTGGTAGCTGCCTGGGCCCCTGATAACCGTACTTGCCTCTTTCCCTTTCTATTTTTTTTTTCTTTCCTGCTCTCAGTTGTTTACTCATCTAGCAAACTCTTTTTGCTATTGACCTGCTCTGCCAAGCTATTGTGTGGGGATACGGAGGGAGATGAGACCTGGGCCCTCCTCTCCAGAGACTCCAGACCTGGTGGAAGAGACAGGAAAGCCTTGAAAGGAATGCTGGGACAGAGCCTTGGGCTGAGACTAGTGACTGACAGACTGGGGATGAGGGAGCAGTGCCTAGGCCGAGCCAGCTCTGTGGGTTCCCAGTTGGGGCACACTGAGGCTGAGGAAACAGGGAGGCAGGACAGTTGGATTTGACCCTGAAGCCAGGGAAAAGAGAGGCTCTCAAGCTTGGCAGTGCCTTTGTCAGTTCCAGGGTTTAGAAAACTCCCTGGCTTCAGGGGACCAATTGACTTGGAAACCTGGAGACTTGAAAGAGGATGTGGCTACAGAGGCCAAGCAGAGATGGTGGCCTTGCCAGGAAGGCTGTGGTGCAGCAGAGCTAGGAAAAAGGAGAGGAAGCAATTAGTCCAGAGCCAAACTCAGGTTCCAGACACTGAAGGGAAACAGGTGCTGCAGACAGCTAATCAGCTAGCGCTGGATATGGGGAACCCAGTGGCCTGGGGCCTGGCTGGGCCTTGATGCCCAGAAGGCTACTGAGGAAGCATCTGGTGCTTGCTAGGTCTTTAGTTAGGGACGTCGTCCATGGTGGTCCCTGGCAGCCAGGGGAGTGTTTGTCTCCGTGTCCAACAGTAGCCCTGGGCCAGTCTTGCCTCACTTTACTGGTCTCCCCCTCCTTCATTTGTCTTCCCTGTCCTCACACTGCTGTGGAAGCCAGAGGGGCAGACAGGAGGTTCTCTGCAGCCTTCATCACTACTCTGAGCTGGGCCTGCTGCTGAAGCTGAGGCGGGGATGTCCAGGGAAGCTGCTGGAGACCCGTGGGAGGGAGGGAGGGCATCAGGCAGAGCAGGGATGAGTCACCCAGCCCTGGGTGGAGGGCAGCAAAGAAGGGCCTGGGTGGGCCCTGCAGGCAGCTCTGTTTACCAGGGATGCGGCGGGACGCCCCTCTGCCACCTGTCTTGGGGGTAGTGAAAGTTGAGTTGCAGGTAGTTGCTGCCAGACTCCTTTACTTTAGAGGAGAAGGATATGGGGACCATTTTCCAGGTGTGAATACTGAGCTGGAAGAGGAGAGCATAGCAGAGACTTTGTATCTCTGTCAGCATGGGTGTTCTCCAAGCAAAGGCTGCCCCAAGATTCTCTCCCATTCCACCCATACCCCATAAGCCCTAGCCTCAGGCGTGGACAGTCCTCATCTGGCTAAGTGCTGGCCTACCTCACATTCCTGCGTTCCTGCAGACCAGGTTCAGGGTGGACTCCAAGCCACCATTCACTAAGGGACACTGGCTTCCAATAGAACGGGCACAGAACCTGGCACAGCGGGCACTCCGTTAACAGTTACTGAATGGATGGATGAATGAACAGGCTGAGTACCCACGGGACAGCTCCATTTCCTACCTTAGCCTCGTTCACTCGGGGACTCAGGTTACCTTGGGCAGCTGTGTGTGCCTTCTCCCCCCCCAGGACAGCCGTTTCTAGTTCCCCGTTTGCACCAGCCTCTGCCTAGAGTTTCTTCCCCTTTCACCTGAGTACCCTCTGCCCGTCTGGTTTGGCTTTGCCGTGTTTTCCTTTGCCTGTAGTTCCTCTTTCCTCTGTCTCTGCCGTGACCCTTCAGGATCATCATTACCTGTTCCTGCGCTGACCCGAGAGTGGGAAGCCCTTCTGGTTCCTACTCCTAGCGCAGAGTCAGTCTCTATGGCGGACAGCGGCAGGGAAGCCAGATACTGCTGAGCATTTCCAAATAACCAGGTCCAGGGAGCAAGGTCTTAGAGGTTCTGGATGGAACTTCTTTCTTCTTTCTTTTCTTTTCTCTCCCCCCACCCCCAGGAGAATCATGATTCATGAGGCTAGAAAGGGCAGTTGGGGCCAGACCCCTGGGGGAATTTAAATCCAGGCTGAAGAAACAGTTGAAGTTTCTTTAAAAACAACAATTAAAGTTTCTTTAAAAACAGTTTTATTGCCAGCCTGTGGTGGCACACACCTTTAATTCCTGCACTTGGGAGGCAGAGGCAGGTGGATCTCTGTGAGTTTGAGGCCAGTCTGGTCTACAGAGCTAGTTCTAGGGCAGCCAGGGCTACACAGAGAAGCCCTGTCTTGAAAAAACAAAACAAAAAAGGCATGCGCCACCTGGCAGATGTACCCCACTAACTACCACCTTGGCCTGGACAGAACTTCTAGTTTTTTTGTTAGGTCTCACTGCAGCCAAGCTGTCATCAAACTAATTTATCCTATTGCTTTAGCTTCCTATGTACAAGGATTACAAATATGCAAAATGAAATGATGTTTTTTATATTTCATAAATATTATTGCA